AGATGAAAGCATATGGAAAGGGGAGGGAGAGAGGAGGAAGAGATAGAACTAATTAAAGAAAGTGGAGTTTTAGTTGGGTGATGATTCCACACGGAGTAATGGTCCCAGGTGTGTGAAATGAGGAAAGGGGAAGGAAACTAGGTCTCCATACACCATATGTTCTCTATCTCCTCCTCTTCTCACTCTCTTTCATTCCCTTTCATTTCAGGTTCTGCGCTGGCTCACTGAGAAAAGCTGATCTTAGATTGCTTTTCTTCTCTTTGCATCTCCCTCAGTGTTCTGTCAGCTATTGCAGTGAAGTGCAGTGTACTGCAGGTTAAGTAAGGCGATGGTGGGATCGAGTGGGCGGTGATGTGGAGACGGAGTGATTGCGTGGCTGTTTGCATATGCTTTTGTGTGCATTTCAGAAAGGCTCAATAGCTTCCATGGTTTGTCCTCCCAATCTAAGGTGTGTTTATTGGGGATTGCTGTTCCATCTGGAGATATGGATGTCAGTATTTGTCTTGCACATTCTTGCACATTATTTTTTTAATTGTTTACCTTGTCGTGAGTTTACATTGGCCTACTTATTGTTTGAATGTGGATTTCTTTGTGCATTTCTGCAGCTTTGCCAAAGGACAGAAGGCCTGGTTGAAAAAAGTTTTATTGAAATGCCTCTCTGCAGGTTATACTTCATGCTAAAGATTTGTGTGTGCAGTACAAGTCCACGTATACTAGTGTTTCATTCCTTGACCACAGTAGAGGAACAGACCACGAGTTTAAAATGACATGTCGTCTAAAAATAGCAGCTAAACTCACTCAGCCTTCCCTTTACACAGCCCCACTCTGGCCGGATAACCAACCCCCCCATCACGGATCTGCTCCAACTGTACATTCCACTCAGAGGAATGAGCCAACTCCCCTGTAAATTAGAGAGCAGGGGGCTAGTCATTGTGTTCTGCCAAACAAAGGCAGTTAGCAAACAGGAGAGGAGCAGCTTCCAGCCAGTGGTTAGTTGGGCTTACCGGCCGGGGGACTTGAAGGAAAGCTGCTGTTGCTGTGTCACCAGGTTGGAGTGCCTCAAGGCTCCGTCCCGGGGCCCTTCTTTAGTCTCCTTTCTTTCCTCTCTATGTTGTGACTGTATGCCTGTGTGCCCATGTGTGAGCCCTCAGGCTGTTGTCAGGCAGATCACGGGAGCTGTTCTGAGTTAGCCGGCTGTCGGTGTCTACCTACATGCCTGTGTTCCCTAAAAAAAAGAAGGACTGAGGATAGGGGGGAGGGGGTTACAACAGAGGGATGGAGCAAGCGCATTCCTCAACATGTTTCGTGCACGAAAGATGTCCGCAGGGGGAACTGCAAGCCCAGCAAGATTCACAGACTTCCAACTTCTTAAAACAAGACTCCCCTCTTCTCCCCCTCGTCCTCCTTCTTCCCCTCCTCCCCCTCTCCTGGGCCCTGGAGTAGTTTAAGAGAAAGGATAATCTGTGCAAGAATTCCAAAAAGCAGGAATCCAGGGATTATCCACAGAGGAAAATTGTAGATGATGGAATATTTGTGGCTTTACCTGAAATGATTGCTTGGGTTTTAGGCTTTGAGGTTGGAATTTGTGACAGCATGACCAATTTCAGTTCGCAAATACAATACAGCACCAACATAAACAGGAAATGCTGGCTCCTCCACAGTAGTACATTTTCTCAATTCAGACAGGAGAGGTTTATTTAAAGACAGTGGACACACAAGTTTTTTTGTAAAGAAGAATCAGAAAATGTAATCAGCCACAGTGCATAATGTGCATCCTGATCAACAATGGCATGTTCTCAATACTTGTATGATACTTGTGTTATCAACCACATCTACCCACAGTCATAAGCTTTTTAAAATAAGTCGCCACCTTTATTTCTTTTTGTCTGAAGTGGAGTAATACTGCCTTTAGTCATGTCCACTAGTCTGACCTAAAGCCTTTAGTCAGACTAGTATTCAGTATCACTGTAAGTAATCTGTATGTTGTTTCACCAATCAGAAGTGATTAAATGTTTACTGATCATCAGCCAATCAGACATCATGTATGACCACACAAGCCAGAGAATAATGGTCTATTTATTGATATCAAATTAGAATTGGACTGATTAGTTGATTTCTTAATTAGTCAATTATTCAGAAAATCCCACCCTCAAAAAACACTAGTAAAACTCATGGATTTGAACATTTCATAGATTTTCTTGTATCTCTCCACCACTGCAACATTCCAATAATCCCTCTTGACTTTACGTGGCACCGAGTATATGGCACAAAAAACAAGCCTGGTGGTGTTCTGTATGTGGCTACTATAAACATAGGCTGCCAGCAGCACTGTGTTTAAAATGCTGTTACACTATCTGTGTATGGCTATGTTATTGTAAACACGCTGCATCTTTGGGGCTTAGCTCCTCCTGTCCTACTTTACTGGTCGATAAACAGGCTTTAGCTTTAATTATGGTGATGTCTGATATTGCGCCTTCTTACATCATGCTGGTATCTTGTTTGTGTGTTTTGTCTGGCTTGTGTGTTATTTGTGCGTGTCCATTACAATTTCTCCAAGCGTGTGTGTTTTGAATGTCTGGAGATATAATGATGGTGGGTGTTTGTCTTGTCTGATAACTGTAACCAATCTTTGTGGTTGGTCAGTACATTGGGTTCAGTTCGCCTTAGAGAGTGTGTGTGTGTGTGTGTGTGTGTGTGTGTGTGTGTGTGTGCTTTCATATGTACAGGCAAAATTACATCAGATCCTGTGTTTTATTTACATGCCTCTGCATATTTTCTGCCATAGTGTCTTGTCCTTGTAGTTGATAATATTTTGACTGTTTCGTAACTTTGTTTGAGTGTCATTCCAGGTCACTCAAAAAAAGAAACAGGCATCCTTTGTTCTTTTCAAGTGAGCCCACTACCTACATTTGTCTTTGAATGTTTCACTGCCAGTTGTGTTGCATTGGGGTGATTTGACTCTTGAGACACAGATAAACATTGGCTGTGGTTTGGATATTTAAATTATGGTGCCTGAGCAGTTTTGCTTTGATATCAGTTATAGTTGTTTTTGACGTGTGTGCCAGTAAAATAATGGAAATACTGTATGGTCATGGTCAAAGGTTTGGCCCTTACTACAAAGCAAGGTACATAAAGAAACGTTTTTCTGAATTTGGTGTGGAAAAAAAGTGACTGGCAAGCACAGAGGCCTTGAATAGCTTTGCCTACTCAAATACTGTACTTAAATACAATTTTGAGATACATACTTAGAGTGTTTCCAATTTATGTTAGTTTATACATCTTCACCACTACAGTTCAGAGCTGTTTGTTTACTTCTCAGATTAAGATTTTACTTGATTAATGTCATATTTTGCAAGAACAATATGAAAAGTTTATGAAATACAACAGATTGCTAAAGATTAAACCTTTGGTTTTCCAACCATTTTGGTTCGCGACCTCTTAAAAATAAGCTATGTAGTTGTGGCCCCTTGATGCATTTCAGATGTCTGAGTTGTTTGCATTTCCACAATAGAGACATTTCCTCTTTAAACTTTCCTGGGTCCAAAAAATGAATACCAATTTGTGTATCAGAACTTTGTTTTGTTTTTTTCCCTGCGTGCCCCATAAATCATCTCACATCCCCTCCGATTGATTTTGTGACTCTTTGGACGAGGAACAACAAGACTTTTTAAAATTTGTTTTATTTTACCTTTATTTTACCAGGAAAGAAATCCATTGAGATTTTCTCTATTACAAGGATGTCCTGGCCAAGATGTGAAACAGCACACACTGCAAGGTGCAAACAAGGCATTACATGTACAGCAGCATTATTCATAAAAGTAACAGTATAATTAAATTATTTACAACAAAGTATCAGATAAAAAGACATAAAAGCACAATGAAGTTTAAACATATCATAATTTGACTAAATGTCACAGGTGCAAGATTTGTTTAAAACCTCTGACAGTTTTTGTTTAAAACTGGACACAGGAATAAGAGACTCCAACTTCAACTTGAGCTGCAGATCATTCCAAGACCATGGGCCAAAATAGGACAGACTCATTTTTCCTGACTCTGTACGCACAAAGGGCACTTTAAACCGCAGCCAGCTACTGGCCCTGAGACTGTGTGTGTTCTGGAGGGCAATAAATTTACAGTAGATATATGATGGCAATTTTCCTAAAATGGCTTTGTATATGAAAATATACCAATGCTTCACCCTTCGAATATTGAGTGAAGTAAATCCAGCCAGGGTATATAAAGTACAATGGTGAGTCCTATAGGGTGAACCTGTTATATACCTCAAAGCAGCATGGTAAATGGGGTCCAGTTAGCTAAGGTAGTGGGACAAGCAAATCTACAGATGGTGTCTCCGTAGTCCAGCTGTGATAAAAACAAACTTGTTATAAGCCACTTACGGGAAGAAATAAAAAAGCATGTTTTCAATCTATACAAAAAACCTAGAGCAAATTTGAAATGTGATGTTAAAAATTAAGGTCTTTATCCAGCCAAATACCAAGATATTTGTATGTGTCTACGATTTCTATGGTATCACCATCCAGAGACTAAACTACCTAATTGTATATAAAGTAACATGTACTTTTACTTTGATACTTTAAGTACATTTTGCTAATATTCGTTTACTTTTACTGAAGAAAAATTGTGAATACAGGACTTTTACTTGACTTTTACTAAACAAAAAACACTTGCTTTGGCAACGTCTGTTTTGAAGTGAATTGAAAATACTTGTAATAGAGTATTTTTACATTGTTGTATTGGTACTTTTACTGAAGTAAATTATATGAATACCTCTTCTACCACTGCATGTGGGTGTAACGTTCAGTGCCTACATGCTTTTGACCGTGCAGTGATCGTGCAAATTTGCACACGGGGATGTAATACAATAGATTTGGCTGGCTGTTTTAAGTAAAACATAGCACTACTCCCTAAAGTGTATATTAGCCTATCTCACTGATAAATGTGGTATCATTTCTTATATCTGTGGTATGCTTGCTTTTCAGGTACAGGCAATATCTGGCCCACCCAATTACAGTCAGGACACACCCAGAGCGTGCTCAGCAGTGGCAGGTAAGAGGAACTAGCACTCGCGTGTGTGTTTGTGTGTGCATGTGCGTGTATTTCTACCCTAATAGATTATCGATGCACTGCTGGGTTGGTTGGCTACAACAGACAGTGGAAATGGGCCTGAACTCCCCCGGGGAAACAAGATATCTCCCATACAGAAGCACACACAGCTAACACACACATACAGTAGCTACAAACACAGGCCCAATGTGACTTCACAGGGAAAAAAGCTCTCATGCACAGGACTTTAAAGCACATTTTGCACACTCACACACTTATGTACAATTAGACACACCACACACCTGCTGGGTCTTTAGAGGAAGCTGAGCTCCATTCTGCTTGTATCTGAAGATGAAAGGAGGAGAGAGGAGAGGAGAGGCGAGCAGGAGGGAGTGGAGGAGGGGAAGGGATTAGAGGAGAGGAGGTGGAGGAGGAGAGAGAGGGAGGATGAGCAGAGAGGTGGAGGACAAAGAAAGAGGGCAGAGGAAGAGGAGGAGCGGGGATGAAGAGTGTTAGCAAACTCTGCACGCTCCCACCTCTCCTTTGTGAACAGATGGGTGGAGGTATCAGATTGTGATGAAAGCCAAAATGTGGGAAACTGAGACAGACACATACATATACAGTACATATACGTCTGGCAATCACACACACACACACACACACACACACACACACACACACACACACACACACACGTTCACTCCACCAGACAGATGCTACAGAATACTTTGCATCCCTTGTTGCTATCTGTCCTCATTCTCTCCATCTTTCATATTCACATAATGATCACACTGTGTTTGTGTGTATAGTGATCATGAACGAGTACGGTCAGACAGGTTCTACAATCTCAGTACCTCAGTGAAGGCACTGTATACACACAGTGCAAAAAAGAAAAATCACAATTGAGATCCGTTGATGTATTTTTTTTTTTTATTACTGGACAGTGAGACTGACACAGAGAGGGAGGGAGAGGCTCCAGGCAGATGATGAACCAGATGAACGGTGGGAAGAAAGATATAAGGGGGGATGAAGAAAAAGGAGGATAAGAGGGATAGAGAAAAGAAGGCATCAAACTTGCGAGCCCTGTGGGTCTTTTCTTGCAGAGGGTGGAGGGCAAATGGAGGCATGGTGGAGAATTCAAATGTCTCTGTGTCAGTGGGTTCACCGTCACTCTGCGCTGAATCCATCGCACATCATAACATACAGTCCTGCGTGTGCTGGGAACTGATGAAATGTGTGTCATGTGGTGGTACATTTTTAACAGGCACACACAGGGACATTTCTGTGTTGGCAACTTCAAATGGCACAGAGAAGGCAACAGTTTGGCATTTAACTTTCACCACCTTGACATATTCTAACAAGGCAATGCAAAGAAATGCACAGTTGTTCATAGAAAATGTAGGGAAGGGGGGGGGGGGATTTTAATTAGCCACAGTAGCAGTTGGACGTTTTTATGTGACAAAATCACGGCCAAAATGTTACAAGCTGTGAGATGCCACAAATCCAGCTTGTAAAATTTTTTAATCTAATTCAATTGATCGTTTCTTTTTCATGGTGATTTCTTAACTACAGTATGACAGCACAATTTCTTGAGGGCAAATAGGATGAAACTGCAGCATGTTCAGTTTAGGCTGACAGGGTTTAAATAGCAGTTGCAACGTGTCAACCTTTTTTTGCCATTGCCTTTTCAAAATAATGTAGCATTTAGGAGACTGTGGCAGTTTGGGTAAATTAGACATCATTTGTGAAAATAGATTCTCATGTCTCCAATAGCTTAGCAAGAAGTAGGGTGGATGGTGAAATGTGTACAGTCTGACCCACCATGGATTACAGGTTTGTGTGATTGTGTGTAAAGTGTGCTTCTATGTCCACAGAGTCTATACATCGCCAGCTTTCTGCTGGTCACGGTGGTCAAATGTACTGCCAGCATGGACTCAGTGTTCCTAGTCAAATAAATTTAGTTTGTTTTTTTTCTAGCCAGACCACCCACTCTCTCAAATCTAGCTATGTTTACATCCAGCTGTCAAATGAATTTTATGCTAACTTTTAAAATATTGCCAGAAAGTAAAATGCAAATCAGGTATTTTCCATCAGTCATTTTCAAGTGAAAAAAAATACGCTCCCTGAATGTCAGAACTAAACATCCACAAGAAAGCTGGAAAGTGTCAACAACTGATTTGTATTGTGTTTTCTTGGACAGTATATCTGTATACATTCTTTCAGAACCATCCTTTAATTATTTTGCAATAAAACTGAACTGATTTAAAGCCAAAAAACAATCCCATTTTAAGCAATAGTTTGACATTTTGGGAAACACACATAACCGCCTATAAAACCACAACTTTACATTTTTACACTTCTTCTCATCTAACTTTTGGCAAGGAAGCGAATAACCATATTTCCCAAAATGTCAAACTATTCCTTTTAAGACTCAAATTATGCTTGTTTATCCACATAGGCATTTACGTGTATCTTTTAAGGAGAAAGATGTTATGGGTAACCATAAGCATGCCTTCCAAATCTTAGCAATGCGTTGTGCGGCCCTGCTTGTCAAACAGAACAGCTGACTGGATGAGGCAACTTCCTGTCAGGGGGCACATTGAACATGGGAATGGAAAAACAAATTAACATTACACTCAAAACTCGCAAACGTATGAAAGAGCGACAACGTGCAAACTCAGACAAGCATGTTGCAGCCTCGTTCTGACACACTTGCATTCAATGATCAAATATCGCTGTCTCCAGTCAGCTTCTTAATGTCAAACTCTTTTTCTCTCTCGAGGAAGTCTGGAGTGACGAATCAACAGCCGAAGGGGAAGGAGAGGGTATATTTGATGGAGGGGGTGTCAGGAGAGACAGTGCCTAAACCAGTGTTAATTGAACACAGCTGTAACTCGTTAAACATTAATTGGCAATTAATCAGCCCCCTACACCCCCCACCCCACCCCCAGTTGAATATATCTTGTATATATCTTTTAATAGAGAGAGCGGGGAGTAAAGTAAATTATTCACAGTAGCACAAGGAAAGCCTGTCCTAGCTCAGCCTTTCTCTCTCTCTCTCTCTCTCTGCTATTTCTCTGCTCCATCTTCTAGCTCTTCTTCTCCCTCTCTGTGCTCCATTCAGCTCAATTAATCTAGTTTTATGCCTTTATCTCCGCTTCCTTCCCCTCATCCGTCTGTAGTTCATCCAGAGATGCGGATAGAGGGAGTGAAAGAGAGATGTCTCAACAAGGAGGAAGTGCCATAGGGGAAAGGAGGTATGGAGGAGGAGGAAGGAGATGCTCCTGCATTAAGAACAGGAATCTCAGTGATCAGCATGTGTGTCAGTATGTGTGTGTGTGTGTGTGTCTGTATGTGTGTGTGTGTGACTACGTTCACACTTAAGATGGCTAATTTTGACAGTGCTGTTTACATGTGAAAATGACGTGCATCCACACAGGGTTTTCAGGTTGCCTTTGTTGCACAGTCGGTGCTGCTTATTCTCTTATTCTTTAAACCTCAGCTCTGTCTCCTTCTACTTTCCATGACCAGCCGAATCCACAATCTACTTATTTTCTGTTTATGTTGACAGACAACTCAATTAGCAGAGATTAGGGATTTAATTGTAGAACATAAATTCTACCTGCTAAGCAGGCAAATAGTAACTCTGTTTGTCAGTCGAATCACCATGTTATTATGACATATGTAATGTCAAAACCTATATTGTTTGCTTGGTATATAGACTGTAATTGTATAGTGCCTTTCTAGTTTTCCGACCACTCAAAGCACTTTACACTACATGTCACCCATTCACACACACATTCATACACTGATGGCAGAGGCTGCCATGCAAGGTGCTGGGGGGAACAATTAGTGGACGACCCGCTCCACCCCTATGCCACAGTTGCTTTGCTGGATTGGTATTCAAAATAAATGATCACAGAATTTCATTCCATAGGAAGTCATGTTTCTAACTTTTCTGCCTGCAAAGGCAAGGTGAGATAGATGGGGGAGTAAAAGGGGACGGCTCACACTTTTGGACAGTCTTTCTATGAAGGTATTGATACTCAGCTGTACATATCAGGGAAAAAAAACAGTTGTGTAAAGAATGAATTGATACAGTATGTGCATGTTGACAGATTGTCGGTTTCAGAAAACAAAAATATACTTATCCCCCCCACACATTTCCAATGTCAAAATGTTCTGGGGAGAGAAGGTTTAGGATGGTGTTCGGCCAGCCGACCGGCTCTACTTATGAAGCATACACTGAGTCGGGGATTTATCCACTGTGGAGAAAGCTCAGTTTTTCAGTGTGTGTATAGAGAGAAACTGAGAGGAATGGTGTATTTTCACATTTAGCCAGCAAGTGTGGATGTACTCTCAGAGCAACCTGTGAACGCTGCTGAGGTTTATATCCAGCATATGTGGCCACAGGCACTTTCTGTTCCTGGTGTTTGAAGACAGACTGTGTGTGCAGTAAACCCAGTCTGTCCTGCAGATCCATTGTGTCGGGCTGTTCTGCCCAGCGCTGCTGGCTCTTATATAACAGTACTGATTACAGCAACAAGGATAACCTGCTGTGCACTCACTGACACACATTCTTTCTCTCACACCGTCCCTCGATCTGTCACTATCTCTTCATCCCCCCTAAATCTCAGCTATTTCCATCTCGCTCAATTAAACGCTCTCTTAAATGCTTTCCTTCTGTCTCTTTTCGTTATCCGTCGACACTTCCTCTCTCTTTGCTGTCTTTATCTGTGTCACTTTGGCTGCGTCCCAAAATTCCCAGCTCACCCTTGTCTCCACTTCTACCTCTTTTGCTCTGTTTTTCACTTTCCTTTATCAGTCGCCATCTATCTGCCCTCACCATCTAAGTCTCTCATTCGCTCCCTCTCCGTCTGGGCTCCAGCTCAAATATTACAAATGCTATTGCATACTGGCTAGGGGCCAAATCAGCAAGATGATAAATCAATACAGCGAGAGAATTATGTAACACCCCACCATATTGACTGGCCTCTCTCCTC